AACACACAGTTATTAAAGTGACTGCGCCACCATGTGGACAAGGGTAAAGCTGCTGCCTGAGATAGAATTGAACTTTGCCTTACAAGGGAGAATTGGACAGTTGAAAATGCCCCTCTGCCTATGGACAGGCAGACACACACACACACACACACACACTCACTCACTCACAGGCATGCACACACACACACCTGATGCCCCGTAGCTCTATGTGTGCACTTCATAAAAGCTCCCATTGTTCCCTTAGCTCTAAGTAAATATTAATGCCTCCCAAGGCCTGCACTGCAGTGGCTGCTATTAAAATCCTTTCCTCTCCTTCTAATAATACACATAGAGATGATGGGTAATAAAAACTCTCTTCAAGGCTTCTGTCTCCCCCCACCCCTTCAAAACCGAGATCAAAGAATCGTGCTGAGAGGGTCAGTGGAGAAGAAAAGGCTTCCAGCAGCCGCGCATGTGGTTGTGACGGAAAATAACGATGTTCAAAGGGATTGCAGAGAAATCGCACAGTAAAACTTCTTTATTATGCTTTGCAGGGGCTGGATGTTTTGCTTCATTAGGTGAGGGGGGGTTGGAGGGTTGGATTACAGACCGTTAGCTATTTTTCAAAGCAACATGAAGGCGGAATTTCTCCTTCCGCTATAGGAAGTAGGCTTCACTTAAGTCCATGGAGGTTCGATTTATTTTGGTTACCCCATTACTAAATCACACTTCACTCTATTGACTAAAAACCTTGATCTCCCTGGGAGCAGAGGTAGATCTAGGTAATGAAAGGTAAGCGCTGGTAGGTGTGGATGCCTGTGCATTCACACTATTGTCTTAGAGCTCATTAGTATAGGGCTGTGTTTTCTTCCTTTGAAATCAGTTACTAATGAGGAATAAATTAATCTTGAACAAATGCGAGATATAAATTTTGCCAAGAGGAAAGACAAGTACCTGCCTGTAAATTTCACTAGTGAAGTTTTGGCTCTTGGTTGTTAGTATTTTTATTGCAACACAAAACAATCACAGAAAAAGGCATTTAACATAATGTTCGACAGTCAAAATTTCTTTAAGTCAAAAACTACAGTCTCTACTACATGACATTTTTGAAGAAAATACTCAATTTTAAACTGAAAAAATTTTTCCAATTTTCCCTCATCAGCATACTTCAATGGATACAGAATTCAGTTTAAAGATTTTGAAAAAAGCCTGGCTGATGTGGCTCAGTGGCTGAGCCTCGACCTCAACAATTCCTGGTCAGGGCATGTGCCTGGGTTGCCAGCTTAATCCCCAGTAGGGGGTATGCAGGAGGCAGCCAATCAATGATTCTCTGTCATCATTGATGTTTCTATCTCTTTCTCCCTCTCCCTAGCTCTCTCTGATATCAATAAACACATATGTTAAAAAAAAAAAAAAGATTTTGGAAAAACCTCCACACATTGTGTATGAGAGAGTAGGCACAGCACATCTTCTTAAACTATAATCTGACTTCCATGCCTTCCTGTACCATCTTCAGATGACTTGGAGGAAGTGAAATGAAAGCTATGTTCACCCAAAAAATTTAAGTGAATGTTCATTGTGACTTTATTTATAATTGCACCAAATTTGAAACATCCTAAATGTCTTTTATCAAGAGAATGGATAAACTGTGCAACCTTCTTACCACAGTATATTATTCACCAACCAAAAGGAACAATCTACTGATGCCTATAGCAACATGGCTGAATCTCAAATGCATTATGCTAAGTCACAGAAGCCAGACTCACAGCCTACATGCTGTATGATTCTATTTATATACTACTAGAGGCCTGGTGCACAAAAATTTGTGCACTCGGGGGGTGGGTCCCTCAGCCCGGCCTGTGCCCTCCCGCAGTCTGGGACCCCTCGGGGGATGACCACCTGCTGGCTTAGGCCCGCTCCCTGGGGGATTTGGCATAAGCTGGCAGTCAGACATCCCTCTGGCAGCCTGGCTGTCCTCGGGGGATGTCCACTTGTCAGTGGGGAGCAGGCCTAAGCTGCAGTCGGACATCCTTAGTGCTGCTGACAGGGCAGGAGAGGTTCCCACCACCACCGCTGTACTGGCAGCCATCAGCCTGGCTTGTGGCTGAGCAGAGCTCCCCCTGTGGGAGCGCACTGACCACCAGGCGGAGGCTCCTGCATTGAGCATCTGCCCCCCTGGTGGTCAATGTGTGTCATAGTGACCAGTCATTCCCAGTCGTTCTGCTGTTTGGGTCAATTTGCATATCACCCTTTTATTATATAGGACTAGAGGCCCGGTGCACAAAAATTTGTGCACTCGGGGGGGTGGGGGGGGGCCCTCAGCCCAGCCTGTGCCCTCTCACATTCTGGGACCCCTCTGGAGATAACGCCCTGCTGGCTTAGGCCTGCTCCCAGGTGGCAGAAGGCAGGCCCAATCCCTAGGTGCAGCCCCTGATCGGGCTCAGAGCAGGGCCGATTGGGGAGTTGGGGTGCCGTCCCCTGTCATGCACGAGCAGGGTGGATTGGGAGGTTGCGATGCCACCCTCAGTCACGCTCAGGGTAGGGCCGATTGGGGGGTTGGGGCACCGCCCCCTGTCACACTCAAGGCAGGGTCGATGGGGAGGTTGCGGCGCCACCCCCTATCATGCACAGAGCAGGGCTGATCAGGGGGTTGGGGCGCTGCCCCCTGTCACACACAGAGCAGGGCCCATCAGGGGGTTGGGGAGCTCCCCCCTGTCACGCACAGAGCAGGGCGGATCAGGGGGTTGGGGCACCGCCCTGTATCACCCACAGAGCAGGGCCGATCAGGGGGTTGGGGCGCCACCACTGTCACACTCAGGGAAGGGCCGATGAGGAGGTTATGGCTCTACCCCGTCACACACAGAGCAGGGCCCATGGGGTTGGGGGGTTGGGGCGCCTTCCCCTGTCATGAACAGAGCAGGGTGGATAGGGAGGTTGTGGCCCTGCCCCCTCTCACACACAGAGCCGCAGGGCGATCAGGGGTTTGGGCGCTGCCCCCTGTCACGCTGATCCCGGTGCTGGGAGGCATATTACCCTTTTACTATATAGAATAGAGGCCTGGTGCATGGGTGGGGCTGGCTGGTTTGCCCTGAAGGGTGTCCTGGATCAGGGTGGGGGTCCCCACTGGGGTGCCTGGCCAGTCTGGGTGAGGGGCTGAGGGCTGTTTTCAGGCTGGGACTGAAGCTCCCAACTGCTCCTTTTTTTTCTTTTTCTTTTTATTATGGGCCAGCTTTAGCTCTGAGGCTTGGCTCCAGCTCTGAGGCCTCTGCTGCTGAAAGAAGGTATCTGGTTTGTTTAGGTTCTATAATCAAAACTCTGTATCAACTCCAGCTATGAGATCCCGGGCTCGCTGAAAGCAGGTTTCTGGGGTTTTGTTTAGCTTCTATATTCATTACAATGTTTCTTAAACTGCAAGCTCAGAGTCCGGCAAGGCAGGCGGGGAACGTTGCAGTCCTCCGTCACTGAAGCAAGCAAGCCTCATGTTAGTTTCAAGCTGCCTGGCTGCCAGCCGCCATCTTGGCTGGCAGTTAATTTGCATATCTCGCTGATTAGCCAATGGGAAGGGTAGTGGTTGTACGCCAATTACCATGTTTCTCTTTTATTAGATAGGATAGAGGCCTGGTGAATGGGTGGGGGCTGGCTGGTTTGCCCTGAAAGGTGTCCCGGATCAGGGTGGGGGTCCTGCTGGGGTGCCTGGCCAGCCTGGGTGAGGGGCTGAGGGCCATTTTCAGACTAGCCACATCCCCTTCAGGTGGGGGTCCCCGCTGGAGTGGCTGGCTAGCGTGGGTGAGGGGCTGAGGTCTGTTTTTAGTCTGGCCACACCCCCTTCATTGAGGGGGGTCCTACTGGGCTGCCTGGCCAGCCTGGGTGTGGGGCTGACGGCTGTTTGCAGGCTGGCCAACCTCCCTAGCAGGGACCCTCACCCCATGAGGGTGTGGCCATCCTGGGTGAGGGGCTGATGGCTGTTTGCAGGCTGGCGACGGCCCCCAGACACCCAAGCTCCTAGTGGAGGCTGGCTGGAAACAGGTATCTGGGATTTATTTATCTTCTATAATTGAAACTTTGTTGCCTTGAGTGGAGGCCACAGCCAGCCAGGGCAGGCAGGAAGCTTGGCTTCCTTCATCGCTGGGGCAACGAAGCCTCCTGCTTGCTCCAGCTCCGTGGCTGCCGGCTGCCATCTTGGTTGGGCTAATTTGCATATAGTTGCTCTGATTGGCTGGTGGGCGTGGCTTGGGGCATAGCAGAGGTACAGTCAATTTGCATGTTTCTCTTTTATTAGATTAGACTAGAAGCCTGTTGCACGAATATTCACACAATAGGTCTTCCTTCCCCTGGCTGTTGGCACTGGTTTTCCTCTGGCACTTAGGACCCAGGCCTTTGGTCCAGCCACAGTGAGGCTTGGCTTCTCCGCTGTGGCTGCAGCAGAGAAGCCAAGCCTCTTCAGTCTTCAGTCTTCAGTCTTCACTCTGGCCGGAGCCTTCAGTCTTCGCTCTGCGCCTGTGTATGTAAATTAACTGCCATCTTTGTTGGGTTAATTTGCATAGTCACTCTGATTGGCTGGTGGGTGTAGCGGAGTGACACCAATTTGCATGTTTCTCTTTTATTAGTGTAGATTCTTGCAAAGTAAAACTATAGGGACAAAAAAAATATGGTTATTAAGGGATAGGTAAGGGGAGGATTTCGCTACAAAAGGAAATGGGGACATTTTTCAGAATGGTAAACTGTTGTAAATCTTGTTTTTGCAGTTACATGACTATGTATTTGTCAAAGCTCACAAAACTTTACACTCAGATGGGCAAATTCTACCATGTGTGAAATGTACCTCACTAGGAACAATGGCTTGAGGAATTTGTTATTATTTTATGGCTAACTTTCCATCTTAGCAGGCATTTCAATTGTCCCTTTTCCTTTAGCTCTGTAATTTGCTTCAATAGAAGAAAATGTTCTTTTTAACTAACATGTAATGTCAAAGCTCTAGTTATGCTTTTGAAATTCTAAAACTTTTTTTCTCTTAATTCTAGATGGAAGCTGTATCCACGGATGCTCCGGAATGTTGCTGAGATAGACCTGTCGACTTCTGTTTTAGGACAATGGGTCAGCATGCCAATATGTGTGGGGGCTACGGCCATGCAGTGCATGGCTCATGTGGATGGGGAGCTTGCAACTGTGCAAGGTAGGAAGAAGGTCCCACTGAAGGGCCAGAAGAAGACTAACCTTTAGTGACTCTCGTCTCTGTATGCACCGGGCAAACACTTCCTTGAATACTTTTACAGTCACTAACATTGAGCTCATCCACTCTGCCATCAAATGCCTGACCTTGCACATCGTGCTCCTCTACTGGCTAACTGTATGACTCTGGGCAACATGTTCTTTGTGCTTTGGTTTTATCAGTTGTAACATGGGGATGAAAATAGTACCTGCCTCCCTGGGTTACACATGTAAAGTGATTAAAATGCCTGGCATGGGGTAGTGGCTCAATTTCTCTTAGTTACTAGTATTATGAGTATTAGTATCAACATACCAGAAAATGGAGGTCTGAGAAATCGACTCACCCTGGGTCATACAGTTAGGTAGTGGCAGAGATGAGATTCAACTTCCTGGCTACCTTTTTTTCAAAGCCCTTACTGCTTTTCCCAAACCCATGAGATTCTCACAATGAAAGAGCAAATGCAGTGACCTGATTGGTTGTTTTCTGCTATGATTCTGGACCATGGTTGTTTTTTTGTCAATGGGTTATATTCCCAATAGAATATTTCCAACTGCCTTAGGAGGAGGGAGTAATGAGAGATTCAAGTATGATGTAAAGACATTTCTTATTAGGGTTAATTTATTAACTTCCCAGTTTTACAACAACTATGAACATTTGAGAAGGTATGCACAACGATTAATCTCCCCACATTGTGCTTCAGAAACTCATATAAAGTTGGTAATGAATTCTATCTGACTTTTTTTTTATGTTAAGCAGGGCAGGTAATTCAGATCTGAAGAGTAGGAACAAAATGCTATTTTAAAGCATTTTAGTTCTAAGAATCAAAGATCTTGTGGATTCATTTCCCTCCTTGGAATGTCTTCCACAGAATTCTGCCAGGGATATCAGCATGACACAGTGAGGTTGTACTGGACACACTTAGGTCTGAGCCTGGAGCTAGGACCACACGCAGATAAGTGGCTTTGGGGCCCAGCCATTTGTCTATGGCAATTCTGAAATATGGGCAGGGAGAAGAAAAAAAGGGAGGAGGGTGGGAATGGTAAATACTAAGTGGATATCTGTCTATTTAAAGTTGGGATAGCAGAGGCCTTCCCAAGCATGCCATAGACACCAATCATTAAAATCAAAGCAAATAAAGCCACATAAAAAAACTCCCATGCTCTAAAATTTCTATAGAAATGAAAACAAATGGCAAACTTAAAAAAAGATATCTGACACTGCAAAGAGTTAATGTCCTTTCTGTGTAAAGGGCCCTTATATTTGAAAAAGTAAAATAATATCTAGCACAAAATAGGTGAAATGATATAAATAGAAAAAAATAAATAGGAAATTCACAAACAGAGACATAAAAATGGCCAATAAACATGAAAAATTTTTAATTTCACAAATAAATAAATGTAAATTATAACCACCTATCTTATTTTCTGAATATCAAATTATTTTAAGATTATAATTTTTGATGAGATTAGAAGGAAAATATGCATTTTCAAATACTGTTGAAAAGAGGTTAAAGTGAAATCATCATTCTAGAAAATAATTTGGCACAGTATATCAGAATTTAAGAAATATAAATTATATGTGATATTGTCAATTCTCTTCTAAGAATTCCAAGGAAATAGTAATGATTTTGAGGAAAGACATTTCTCCAAGGATGTTCATGCCCCTATTATTTTTAATAGGAGGGAATTTGGAGAAAAACACCCAAATGTCCCATAATTGGAAATAGGTTGCAAAAAAGAGGGTGTATTAAAAATAGGATAATTTTTTTAAGTCATATTATAGAGTGTAGTGGAATAAAAAATGTGACACTATAAGAAATTTTAAAATGCAGCTATAAACAATAGTAAGGGCCTAAAATACATTTATATTTAAAGACTAAGAAGGTTGACTACTCTTTACAAGAGTTTACCTATGGCTGATAAGATTACTCCTGACTTTATAGTCCTCTTAGTTTTGGTCTAAAAAATTTCCTTTGGATTATTTTGTAAGAGGGGAATGATAAAAATGAAAGAAAAATGGAGAAGGGATCATGAGAAAAATAGAAAAGAAGCAAGAGAAGTAAAAGAAAGCAGTAAACAGAGCTCACTTCGTAAAACACCTAAGAGCCTGCAAGTTATTTATCTACTGGGGTCCCAGTGCATGAATATGTGCATCTTGAAAGGAACTGTGGGCTGTGAGGCTGCGGTGGGCACAGGGGCAGGTCTCAGTCCATCCTCTGCGCCCCCTCCTGACCCCTCCCTCTGTGGCCCCTGGTCCCTTGTCTGCTGGCAGCCCCACTCTCACCGCCGCTCCCATGAGCTGATAGAGCCAGCCCTGCTCACACACACTGATGGCACAGAGCAATTGGGGCCAGCACCGGCAGTGGTGTGAGCAACAGCTTCCAGCCCCGATCACCCCTCAGGAGCAGGTGGAGGTGGAGAAGCCCAAGGAGGAATAGGGGCTGGCAGCTGCTGCTTGTATCCGCTGATGGCGCTGAGCGATCAAGGCCAGCGCCAGTCGCCTACAGCGGGTGTGAGTAGTGGCTCTGGTGCTGGTAGTGGGTGTGAGAGGGGCTGGCACCTGCAGTAGGCGTGAGCGCTGGGTAGGACTACAGTGTGCGGGAGCAAGAATTTTTAGTAACCACCAGAGGCTTGCCCCGATGACAGTGACCAGTGCCCCGCCTTGGTCTGGCGCCCCCGCTCACCTGCTCCACCATCCCCCGATGGCCGACACCCGCCATGTTTCACACTTTGCTGCCTGCTGCTAACGCCTGCCATGTTCTGCATGCGCCCCTTGGTGGTCAGTGCACGCCATAGCGACCAGTTGTTCGGTTGTTCCGCCGTTTGGTCTATTTGCATATTAGAGTTTTATAGATGGGTTACTTTATTTGATACTTGACAGGGTCACTGTCCCCAAGGTGTGAGCGAACAGCTAGAGTCCCAGAGAAAGCAGGTTTTCATAGCTAGTCCATGACAAGACTTACCCTCCACCTCATTTCTGATGGGTTCAAGATTCATGCTTCTTATTTTTGGTAGTGTGGAAAGAAAAATGAGAAAAAAACTTACTTTGGAACTATAATTTGATAGTGTAGGTAGGACTATTTTGTCCAACACTATTTCCTCTTGGCACTAATCATGAGGCATTATTAAATATCTATTGTAGGATTCCTTTATATTTCTTTATCAGACACCTATCAAGCAATTAGCACATTCCAGGCACTATTCTAAGTACAAGTATTAAAGCATTGAATCCTTAGAGCAGCCCAAAGTGGTAGTACTATTATTAAGCCCATTTTACACAGCAGATGAATAACTTGCCCAGGTCACACACAACTAATAAATGATAAAGATGGACTCAGACCCAGGCAGCTTGGTTCGAGTCTGGGCTCCTGACTACATGTGCTACCTTTAATTTCCAGAAAAAAACCCATAAAATGTCATGAGGGGAAGCCCACTTATTTGTCAGTTATAGCCTCCTAAACTTTAAGTACATGCTAAGCATCCCCCACACCCCTGCCTAGAGAGTGAGATACTTGATAGACATCAGGATAAGGTGGAGCAGGCAGAACAAAGGTGTGCTGACATGAGAACTCGGAAGAATTGGCAATGAAAGTTACACACGGTGCCCTGGAGAATCTAAGACCCTGGATCAGTGATATCTGCGCAGTGATATCACGGTTTATCTTCCAGATTTGTAGTAGAACCCTCCCTTGAGTATTTAAACATTCACACAGTTTTCTTCTATATTCCAATTACCACCTATGCGTTGATGGTCTCTTTAATGTTTAGTTTAATCCTGGAAGCCAGTAGAGATCAGCTCATAACAAAGAGTGTTCCTTGGTTGGTATGTTTGGGTTGTGGGATGGATAGGTGCCTTGGGAGGAAGGGATGTGCACCTGGAGCAGATGCCCTTGGTGCCTGGGATCTATTTCCTTGTTAGTTACTGTTTGTATCAGAACCTGCAACTTTTCTCCTGCCATTTTCTCTGGCAGCAAAATGAGAAATGTCAGCATGGGTGGGTGAGTGGGAGGGACCCCTCAGCGCATGATGAAGAGGAGTTACAGAAATACCCCATCTTTCTTTGATTAGAGCACCTGACGCATTTTCTAATATTGTTGCCCAGGGCTCCCCTATGGAATTGAGCCCCAGTTGCCCTCAGAAGTTACCTGCTCACTAATATCCCATTCATTTACTATCTTCCGGTCCCTCTCTGTTTTCCTACTCCATCAACTCACTTGGGGTTATTCCCAGGAAAAAGACTCTGTGCTCACATATTTGTCTCATTGTTGGCTTCTGGAAGGATGCAAACCAAGACAGAGGCTAACTGGAGATTATATATAGCCTCAAGCAAAGTTAAGTAAGAGTGTAAGAGCATGCATATTTGGTAGAAATTACTTTCTTTTCTCAAAACTGAAAATTGATTTAGCTGATATTTGATTTACTCAATTGTTTCAAAATATGGAAATCTTCTCGAGCAAGCCCGATCCTTGGAGAGAGTGTGGAACCTGTGGACGTTGTTTAGAGGACTTCTTTTTCCCCCCGCCCTCTTAATGATCTGGCTCCAAATTAAGTTTTCCTGTTTCCAAGGCCTTGGCCCCTCTCGCTAGAAGAAGTTGGGGCCAAGTTCAAGGGACATGGGTTAGTGAGCAACTCTCTCTGGAGAAAGGATCCCCTACAGCCTGATCATTAAGTGTAGGTGAAGTTCATTCAAATCCCCAGAAAATGGCCCGGCCTGAATAATTAAAATGGGCTTCCAGAAAGTTCTGGAAGTAGCCATGGTACCACAGTCTCATCTCCCCAGCTGGCTCTTCAGACTTCTTCACAGAGCCCTGCTTACGGGCTTTTGGCCGTTCTTCTCACCACTGTAGGGCCCTTGCCCAGTAGAAGCTGGGCCTGAGAATAGAGCTCTACTTTCTTACCTCGCTGTGTGGGTGTAGAGTGAACAATGAAGAAGCTACTCTTTTTGTCATTTTCAAAATGGCAACA